TGCCACCAGTATTTGAAACAGCAGAGTCACCCATGGTAGATAGGTTTTAGCAGAGCTTGCAGACTAAGACCAGAAAGAAGGTGAGACAGACTACTTCAGAATATCTTGCCACTGAAAACTTTATGAAAAGCAGAAGAACATTATCAGATATAATGTCAGAAAATGAGCACCTCAGGTTGGAAGGGACTCAAAATACCACTGGGGAAGAACTATCTCCTCAAAATAAAGTTGACTGAGATGATACAAATTGAGTAAAGCTTTTGGGACCTTCATTTGATAATAGGGCACAACTCAAAATGAAGAGAAACAGCTGCAAACATCCATTAATAATCAGAGCATGGAATGTACAAAGTATGAATCTAGGAAAATTGAGAGTTGTAAAAAGTGAAATGGAATGCATAAAGATCAATATACTAGGCATTAGTGAGCTGAAATAGACTATATTGGCTATTTTGAATCTGACAGTCACATGTTTTATTATGCCTGGAATGACAAATTGAAGAGAATGGCATCACATTGATCATAAAAATAAAAAACCATTTCAAAATCTATCTTGAAATAGAATACTGTCTATGATAGGATAATATCCATACATCTATAAGGAAGACCAGTTAATATCACTAGTCTTCAAATTTATACACTAACCACTAAAGCCAGTGATGCCATAGGATAAGCACTCAACTTCAAACTTACCAACCACTCCTCAGAAGCCCTATACAAGGTCATTATGAGTCAGAACCAACCCAACAGCACTTACCAACAACAACCACAACTTCTTCAGTCTGAAATTGATCAAACATGTAATCAAGATGCATTTATAATTATGGTGATTGGAATGCAAAGATTGGAAACAAGAATCAGTAATTGGAAAATATGGCCTTGATAATAGAAATGATCCTAGAGATCATGACAGAATTTTTCAAGACCGATGATATATTCACTGCAAATACCTTTTTTAAACAATGTAAAAGGACCTCACCAGATGGAATACACAGGAATCGAGTTGACTGCATCTGTGGAAAGGGAAGGTTGAAACGCTCATTATTTATCAGCCGAAACAAGGCCAAGGGTGGACTTTGGAAAAGATTACCAATTGCTCATATTCAAGTTCAGGATGAAGCTGAAGAAAATTAATACAAGTCCATGAGAACCACATTATGATCCCAAATATATCATACCTAAATGTAGAGATCATCTCAAGAATAGATGTGATGCATTAGACATAAATGATCAAAGATGAGAAGAGGTGTGGGTTGACATCAAGAACATCCTACTGGACGAAAGCTAAGGGTCTTTAAAAAGACAGGAAAGAAAGAAAAGACAAAAATGGATGTTAGTAAAGACTCTAAAACTTGTTCTTGAGTCCACAGAAGCTAAAGGGAATGGAAGAAATGATGAAGTCAAATAACTGAATGGAAATTTTCAAAGTGCAGCTCGAGAAGGCAAAGTCAAGGATTATAACAGATTGTACAAAGACCTAGAATTAGAACCAAAAAGGGAAGAACACGTTCAGCATTTCTCAAGTTGAAAGAACTTAGGAAAAAAATTGAAGCACCAACCTGCAATATTGAAAGGTACTATGGGGAAAATATTGAGCAACACAGAAAATATCAAAAGATGGAAGGAATAAACGGAGTCACTGTACCAAAAAGAAATGGTCGATGTTCAACCATTTCAAGAGGTAGCATATTATTAAGAAATAATGGTACTACAAAAGTCCAAGATGCACTGAGGGCATTGGTGAAAAACAAGGTTCTAGGAACTGATGGAATACATATTGAAATCTTTCAACAAACTGAGGAAGCGCTCATTCATTCCATGCCAAGAAATTTGGAAGACAGCTACTTCGCCAGCAAATCAGAGGAAATCCATATTTGTGCCCATTCCAAAGAGAAGTGGCCCAATGAAATGGTAAAAATGTATAACAATATCATTCATATCACATGCCATGACATTTTTCTGAAGATAATGTAAAAATGGTTGCAGCAGTACATCGACAGGGAACTGCCAGAAATTCAAGCCTGATTCAGAAGAGGACATGGAACAAGGGATATCATTGCTGATGTCAGATGGATCGTGCCTGAAAGCAAAGATTACTAGAGAGATGTTTACTTGTGCTGCATTGACTGTGCAAAAGCTTTTGACTGTGTATTCCAGAACAAGCAATTGTGCTCATGAGGAACCAAGATACAGTTGTTAGAACACAACAAGGGATACTGAATGACTTAAAATCAGGAAAGGTGTGTGCCAGGACTGTATCCTTTCACCATACTTATTCAGTCTGTATGCTGAGCAAATAACCCAAGAAACTGGATTATATGAAGAAGAACATGACATCAGGATTTGAGGACTCATTAACAACCTGCAATGTGCAGATGATACTACCTTGCTTACTGGAAGAAAAGAGGACTTAAAATACTTACTGATGAAAACCAGACTATAGTCTTCAGTGTGGATTGCACTTCTACGTAAAGAAAATAAAAATCCTCACAACTAGACCAATAAATAGCATCTTCATACATGGAGAAAAGATTAAAGTTGTCAAAGAGTTCATATTTCATGGAGACACAATCACCACCATGGAAGGAGCGGTCAAGAAATTAAAGGACATATTGCACTAGGAAAATCTGATGCAAAAGACCTCTTTAAAGTGGTAAAGAGCAAAGATATCAGTTTGAGGACTAAGGTGCAACTGACCCAAGCCATGGTATTTTCAATGGCCTCATATTTTTGTGAAAGTTGGACATTGAATAAAGAAGACCATAGAATAATTCATTTGAACTATGGTGTTGAAGAAGAATATTAAAATTACCATGGACTGCCACAAAAACAAATCTGTTTTGGAAAAAGTATAATCAGAATGCTCTTTAGAAGAAAGACGGTAATACTGCATCTCTCATACTTGGGATGTGTTGTCAGGAGGGACCAGTCTTGGAAAAAGATACCATCCTTGGTAAACTGGAGGGTCAGTGAAAATGAAAAAGACCCCAGAGACATGGATCGACTCAGTGGCTCCAACAATGGGTTCAAACATAACCATTATAAATATGGAGCAAGATATAACAGTGTTTCATTCTGTTGTGCATATGGTCACTATGAGTCAGAGCCAACTCGATGGCATCTAAGAGCAACAACCACAAAGATTTACAGTCTCAGAAATCCTATACAGGGTTGCTATGAATCAGAATAGACCCAATGGCAGTGGGTTTGGGGGAATATTTGTGGGAGTAGATTGTCAAGACTTTTTCCCATAGTGGGCTTGAACTGAGTGGGTTTGAACTCCCAGCCTTTGGTTAATAGCCAACCATACTTAACCTTTGTACCACCAGTCCTCCCTTTTCAGATAAGAAAGTATATACATATTTTTTAACCTGAAAACTATGTTAATAAGTTAATTACTATTTCTGATGACTACCACTGTCATGACCCTGACGCTGGCACTGTTTCCCACTCAGCTTGTCTGTCTTGCTCACTACCTGGCCCTAGGGCACTCATTCTGTGAATATCTTCTAAATGTCTGCTCTGAGCAGGAAGCACATAGAGACCAGCAACCCCAACCAACTTCATTTATATGGCAGGGTTAATCAATTTCCTAGTTGTTCAATCTATGAGTTTGTCTTTGCAAACAACAGTTTCTTATAGCCAAAGACAAAACTCATAAATACCTGTTTCCAGCCCAAGCAACTTTATTTCTATGAATCTCTTGGGGGGGAGCGGGGGGAGTGGAATGCTGTAAGTAATTAGATAAATCATACCTACACAAAAATTGTTATAGCTACTGTGCAGTTATCTTGCATCTGGAAGTCACACTTCACTGTCTTCAACCCAACTAAGATAATATATGTCAACAAATAAATGTGTGACGGGGATCTACTTCAACAGAAGAAACATGCCCATACCTGTTGCTGCTGAGTCGATTTTGATTCATGGTTACTCCTTGTGCTATAAAGTAAAACTTCTGCATAAACTTTACTTGGCTGTAGTCGTTACAAAAGCAGATCTCCAGGCTTTCCTTTCACGATGCTGCTAAATGAGTTTGAACCTCCAACTTCTAAGTTAGCAGTCAAGTACAACTGCCTTTGAGTTGATTCCTACTCATATCGACCATAGGGTTTCCAAGGAGCAGCTAGTAGGTTTGAACTCATACAGTTTCCAAGGAGCTGCTGGTGGGTTTAAACTACCAAGCTTGTGATTCGTAGTTCAGTACTGGTCCTACAGTACCAAGCCAGAAGTCCATAATTTCATTATACTATATTTTTATTATAACTACAAAAAAATGCTTTGAATAAAATGTGAGGAAAAACCAGAGCTAGTGGTGATTCTGTTAACATAATTATATTTTTCTTCTTTTTTTATTTTCCAAAGTTTTTGTTTACAATAAAAGTGTTAAATTTGTAAAGCTTTGTATATATCATTTAAATTATGTAATTCTTCATTTATACTAAAAAAGAAATTCACCAAATGGCACTGAATTTTATTTACATTTTCATGAAGTAAACCCTACAAAGATTACTAAAAGAAACGTGAGAGTAGTCAAATTATATCTCTGCTTTGTTTTATATGAAATGCTGTTGTTAAATACTGTTGAGTGAGTTCCTACTCATAGCATCCCTGTATTATATGCAATAGATTCCCAAATATACAGAATCATAAAACTTAAGACTACCCATTACATCACCATGCTATTAACTGCTGTTTAGAAGGCCATGATACTGAATACAGGTATCTGATTTAGTCTCATAATTTTTTATCTACCAAACTTTTTCAATGATATGTATTTCTGTTTTCCTTGCATGGTCTTTTTATCTCTAAATGAAAATGAATAATTTATGACACAACATAATTCTAGCATTTATTGATCACATATTCAAAGACATCTAAAGACTGAGTGTATAAGGCAGACTTTTATACAATACATTTGTCTGAAACTACATCATTATACATGGTTCTTGATTTCAAATACTTAGCTATAAGTAACTGCCATAAGCTAAATCAGAGTATTACAAATGAAGATATTCCATTACAAAAACTTGTAGGATTTTGTTTAGATTGTCAATGGTTGATGCATCCAAATTTTCTTCATTGTCTTCCATGGTGTGCCAAACTTCAGGAAAAGGAAATGGTATCAGATGCAGAACTGGAACACCTAATAAGAAAAAACTGACTTGTAATCAACTGTATATCTCCAATTAATAAGTCTGAGCGGAAATTCTTCACTATAAAGGAGAGCTAATAACTCACCTTCCATGTATTTCTTTGTATCTTACCCTTGTAATCCAAAAACATTCATTAAATAAGTATTGGTTAACTTAATAAATAATTATAAAGCATTTGTATGGCACGTCCTGTTCTGAGAGCGGAGGTTTCATAAGGAAAAAGGAAAAGTCCTGTCCCTATGAACCTTATATTCCAATGGAGAAAACAACAAATAAGCAAATATAAAACTAAATTTTAAGAAGTGATATGTGTATATTAAGAATAAGAAAACAAAGTAAAGTAGTGCCAAATAAAGCAGCAGATAATAAGGTCAATTTATTTAAAGTCAGAGGAGAACTTTCTTAGAAGTTAACATTTGAACAGAAAGATGAACTGAATGAGAAAGTAAGCCATGTAAACATCTAGGAATGAGAAATCCAGGCAGCAGTAATAGCAAACCAAAAGGTACTGAGGTAAGAATGTGCTTGTCCTGCTTGAGAAAAGCCAACCAAGAAGGCCAGCGGGGTTAGATCCGAGAAATTGTTTAAGAGAGCAGTAGGAAGTACAACTGGAGAGCAAGGGCAGAATCAGGAAATATTGGCCATTGTATGTTATGGAAAGACTTTGGGTCTTATTCCAAACAATGTAAGCCACTAGAGCTTTAAAGGAGTCCTGGTGTGGAACTGTAGGATAAGCACTGGGCTGCTAACCACAAGGCCGGTGGTTCAAACCCACCAGCTGCTCCTCAGAAACCCTGTACAGGTTGCTATGAGTCAGAACTAACTCAACAGCACTGAACAACAACAACAGCAAAGAGCTTTAAAGAGGAGAAGTAACATGATCTTATTATCCACAGTCATTGAGTTTATTATGACTCACAGTGACTCTATGTTGTTATTATATACCATCAAGTCCGTTTCAACTCATAGCGATCCTGTATATGGTTTCCAAGGAGTGGCAGATGGGTTTGAACCACTGACCTTGGGGTTAGAAGGCCAGTGCTTATCCTATAGCACCATGCCAGGATCAATCCTTTAGGACAGAGTAGAACTGCTCTATAGAGTTTCCAAGACTGCAAATCTTTATGGGAACACACAGCCTCATCTTTATCCCACACGTGAACCACTGCCCTTGCAGTTGGCATATCAACCTTTAACCCACTGCACCACCAGGGCTCCTTTGTTGTTGTTGTTAGGTGCCATCAAATTGGTACTGACTCGTAGTAACCCTGTGCACAGCAGAACGAAACACTGCCCAGTCCTGGGCCAACCTCACAGTTGTTGCCACGCTTGAGCCCATTGATGCTGCCACTTTGCCAATCCATCTCGCTGAGAATCTTTCTCTTTTTCTCTGACCCTCCACCTTACCAAACATGACAGCCTTCTCCAGAGACTGGTCCCTCCTGACAATATGTCCGAAATATGAGAGACAAAGTTTGGCCATCCTGGCCTCCAAGGAGCACTTTGGCTTCACTTCTTCGAACATAGATCTGTTGGTTCTTTTGGCAGCCCATGGCACTTTCAGTTTTCTCCTCCAACACCATAACTCAAATGCATCAATTCTTCTAAAGTCTGTCCAGCTTTTGCAGGCATAAGAGGTTATTACAACCTTATTAACATCTCTAAAAGATAGCTCTAGCACCTATACCAAGAATAGAGCAACAGGAATGGAAGCTAGAGAGCAATCAGGAGACTACTATAACAGTTCTTGGATTTATTTAGACTCACACCATCTCAGCAACAAGAATATTATCTTCTTATTGACGAGAAAACACCAGAGTAACACAAAGTGTAAGAAAGCAGTCTATTGGTACACAGGGTCGACGAGGATGCGGAACTTAGACATTGGGGTAGGGGTCTACAAAGGCAAGAAATGACTGGCTTACAAGCTTTCAATAGGGAACCTAGTTCCAGGGGGTACAGGGAAATGTAGAATCTCCACTGAGTTGTTTCCAACCTGTCTGGATGGGGTTGATAAAAGGTGAGGGGGATAGGGCTCCTGTGGTTCAACAGGTAATGATTGCTATCAGGTCTGACAGTGAGTGCGGGAAAGGTAAATGTAATGTTTGGTAACAAAAGGAGGTGAGTGGCTGATTTTGCAGTCCAGAGCTGAGATCCCTGTAACCATCAAGGGAGAAAGGCAAAGTGCAGGACCCTGTAGGGGGAGGCAGTGACACCAGGGATGAAGGCAGAGACATGATGACATGGAGAGAAGGAGGGAGTACTCTGGACTCAGGGAGGGACAGGGGCTGTGTGCTGGTGGCCAGAGGGCAGGCTTGTGGGATGTACCCTTTGGTTGTTTGCTGATGCATGCAGGGGATTGTAATCATTGCAATTAAATGAAATACGATAGGATGAATGTAAAGACAATGTTCTCCCATATAAACTAACACATAATTCATAATAAACACTTAAAAAAAAAAAAAAGAAAGAAAGAAAGCAACCTAACTCTATGAAAGGAAAGGCAGGATATAAGTGGGATGTGAGCTTTCATCAATATTCTAGATATAGCCAAAAATATAAAGGTATCCTCAAAGACTTGAGATGTACTGCCTGAGAAAATAAAAGTCATAAGATGACATAATGTATGATTTAATAGATCAATTAATTAAATCTAATGATTCCTCACACTTCTAAATTGTTTCAAAATAGGGAGAGTGGGAATTTTTGGCAAGACCTAGTACAATGTATCAATATCATATTTAACCACCACCTTGAAGACCTGAAACTGAATTGTGTGAGGTACAGATGTGGAAGCTATTACAGAATTAAGGAGAAACTTCAGATGTCTGAACCAAGCAGGTGGCTAAGTGTAGACCATTACTGAAAAGAAGAGAACAGGAAGAGGAGAATTTACTTCCAATCATTTCTTCATCTAAAGGAACAATGGAGGACTTTGTCATCTCATTTGATAACTTGAAGAGAGTTCTCTAGTAAGAACAGGTTAAAGCATAAAATGTTGCATCTGGATCTTGCCTGGGACAATAATGATCAGGAGAAGGACGGTCTATACTTATTTCTTCATATTCAATTTGTCTTAAATATCTGACTCCTCGTTTATAGGCACAAAAGCATATTGGTAAAAGCTTGTATGGTAGCAGACATATGTTGTTTTAGTTGTTATGTGCCGTGGAGTCGATTCAGACTCATAGCAACCCTATACAGGATTTCCGAGGCTGTAAATCTTTACGGGAGCAAAATGCCTCATCTTTCTCCCGCGGAACAGCTGGTAGTTTCGAACTGACTGACCCTGAGGTTTGCAGCCCAATTCATAACCACTAGGCTATAGATCCTTTTAAAGACAGGTACTCATTAAAATTATTTTTCTTATCTGATCTTTAAAAATATCTCTAGATTGGTCTGATTCATTAACATATAACAAGCGTAGTTAATGTTTAAAGAAAGATTACTTTAGTGGTTCAAAATGCATTCAATTATTACTCATGTTTAATTCCTCTCTCAAATTTAAATTAAAAAAAGAGATCTGAAGACTTCGCTGAAGAAAATTACTTGATGATACCAGAAACTAGGTAAGATTTAGGAATAAATCAAGACTAATAACAATAATCATACATTGACAGAGAACTTCCAGAGGTTCAAGCTGGATTCAGAAGAGGCCGTGGAACGAGAGATATCATTGCTGATATCCGATGGATCTTGGCTGAAAGCAGAGAATATCAGAAGGATGTTTACCTGTGCTTTATTGACTACGCAAAGGCTTTCGATTGTGTGGATCATGACAAGCTATGGACAACATTGAGAAGTATGAGTATTCCAGAACACTTAATTGTACTTCTAAGAAATCTGTACCTAGACCAAGAAGCAATTGTTCGAACAGAACATGGGAACACTGAAAGTTTTAAAATTGGGAAAGGTGTGAGACAGGGTTGTATTCTTTCACCATACTTATTCAACCTGTATGCTGAGCAAATAATACGAGAAGCTGGGTTCTATGAAGAAAAACGTGGCATCAGGATTGGAGGAAGACTCATTAACAACCTGCGATATGCAGATGATACAACCTTGATCGCTGAAAGTGAAGAGGACTTGAAACATTTACTTATGAAGATTAAAGAGCACAGCCTTCGATATGGATTGCATCTCAATGTCAAGAAAACAAAAATCCTCACCACTGGACCAATAAACAACATTCTTATCAATGGAGAAAGGATTGAAGTTGTCAAGGACTTCATTCTTCTTGGATCAACTATCAACACTCGCGGAAGTAGCAGTCAAGAGATCAGACGACGTATTGCACTGGGCAAATCTGCTGCACAGGAACTTTTTAAGGTATTGAAGAGCAGAGATGTCAGCTTGAGGACTAGGGTGCGCCTGACCCAGGCCATTGTGTTTTCAATAGCCTCATATGGATGCGAAAGCTGGACAGTGAATAAAGAGGATCGTAGAAGAATTGATGCCTTTGAGTTGTGGTGTTGGAGGAGAATACTGAGGGTGCCATGGACTGCCAAAAGAACCAATAGATCTGTTTTGGAAGAAGTGCAGCCAGAGTGCTCCTTGGAGGCCAGGATGGCTAAGCTTCGTCTCTCCTACTTTGGACATGTAGTCCGGAGGAAACAATCGTTGGAGAAGGATGTCATGCTGGGTAGGGTGGAGGGTGAGAGAAAAAGAGGAAGACCTCCAACGAGATGGATCGGCCAGGTGGCATCATTGATGGACTCGGGGGTGGCAGCAGTGGTGAGGTTGGCCCAGGATCGAGCATTGTTTCGTTCTGCTGTGCATGGGGTCGCTATGAGTCGGTTCCGACTCGATGGCACCTGACAACAACAACAAACAAATAACAATAATCAAAGAGCTCTGGTAGCGTAGTGGTTATGAATCGGGCTGTGAACCGCAAGGTCAGCAGTTCGAAACTACCAGCTGTTCCACGGGAGAAAGATGAGACTGTCTGCTCCCGTAAAGATTTACAGCCTTGGAAACCTTGTACAGGGTTGCTATGAGTCAGAACTGACTCTACGACACATAACAACAACAAAAATAACAATGATCATAGTCTACTTCTTTTGTGTGTGTTTGTAGAAATATACACAGCAAAGGATATACCATTTCAACAAATTCTACAGTGGGATTGTTTACATTCTTGAAGTTGTGCAACCATTCTCCTTTTCCAAATTATTCCACCACCGTTAATGTAAAGTCACTGCCCCCTAAATTCTCATCGAACTTTATGACTTGCTATTGTCAGTTTGATCCCACATAGATAAATCTTTGAAAAAGCGTAGTAATCAAGGCAGACATACCTTATTAATTAGGCTAACTTGTCGATTGGTTTAAAGCAGACTTCTGGTAAAAGTTGTGATTTAAGGTTTAAAGATTATCACAGGGAAATCGCTTCAGCTGTTCATAATCTTGATCAATTCTTAAGAAGTGGGTACGTGATCCTAGTGCCGTAGTCTTGGAGTTTCAAAATGTGCATTAATACAATAAATCTAACAGGTCGAAAATGTACACACAGATACACATGTGAATATGTACACATACACACACATTACCTTTTCTCAAAAATGGAATGTGGTCATCCTGAATTTCGCCTCTATAATCAAAACTCTGGAAATATTGCCTCTCCCAAGAGTGATTCTTCAGCAAACCCATTGCATGGAGTTGAAATTCTGTAGGTGACAATTGAACAACTGATGAATATCATTATCTAAATCAAGACTCAGGATGCATCTTCATGTAAGCAGTTTGAGATCTTCTCAGCATATGTGGCCATCATTTTTCAATCATTGTGCAACAATGAACATAAGCACACCCATGACAACACCTGCGCTGACTCTGTGTGTGTGCATTTTGGAGTAATTTCAAGGAAAAAAAGTCATGCAAGGCTCTACCCTTCCAGAGAACTTTCTTAGAGGTACAGAGTCAATAAAATAATGGAGAGATAAGAAATGAAAAAAGAAAGAACATGAGGAAAAAGACATATTTAGATGCTGATAGGTCAGCAATACATAAACAGAAGCCTCAAAAAGTGTTGTACTTAAGAGGGGAATACTCAACAGAATGGGTGTGGCCCCTCCCTGGGAAAGGAATGCCTAGTTTGACCTGCACCAGTGGTTTTCAAAGTGTGGCTCCCAGAGCAGCAGCATCAGTATCACCTGAGAACTTGTTAGAAATGCAAATGATCAGGCCCCATCTCAAACCTACTAAACCAGAAACTCTGAAGGTAGGGCCCAGCATCATATGATGTAACAAGCCTTCCACGTGATTTTGATCCACTCAATTTGAGAACCACTGGTTTACATTCCACCACACTTGTCTTCCTGTAACATATAACCCTTGCTATACTTTACAAGGAGTTCCTGGGTGGTGAAGCAGTTAATGTGCTTGGCTAACTGTAAGGTTGAAGGTCTGAGTCCACCTAGAGTCATCATGGAAGAAAAAAAAACAGAGATCCTGGAAAGTTTGATACAGTTATCTTGAAGTACTCTTGATAGCTCTTGTAACAAATAAACCAGTTACCAGTTGTCATTGGGTTAACTAAGATATTAGTGTTTTCAATGGCAGACTTTTCAAAAGTAGGTCACCATGTTAGAGTCCACCCAGAGAGACCTCAGAAGAAAGGTCTGCCAATCTACTTCTGAAAAATTCCAGAATCTTTTGGTTTTTTAACTGATAAATTTTAAGCGCAGAATTATGGTTGTTGTTAGGTGCCATCGAGTCTGTTCCAACTTATAGCAACCCTATGTATAACAGAACAAAACACTGGCCCTACACCATCCTCATAATTGTTGCCATGTCTGAGCCCGTTGCTGCTGCCACTGTATCAGTCCATTTTGTTGGGGGTCTTCCTCTTTTTCATTGTCCCTCCACTTTAACAAGCATAATGTCCTTCTCCAGGGACTGGTCCCTACTGATAATATGTACAAAATCTGAGAGACAAATTTTCACCATCCTGGTTTCTAAGAAGCATTCTGGCTGAACTTCTTTCAACACAGATTTGTTCTACTGAATGTCCATGGTACTTTTAATATTCTTCTCCAACACCATAATTCAAATGCATCAATTCTTCTATGGTTTTCGTTATTCACTCTCCAATGTTCACATTCATATTGAAAATAAAATGGCTTGGATCAGGTGCGCTTTAGTCCTCAAACTGATATCTTTGCTCTTGAACACTTTAAAGAGATCTTGTGCAACAGATTTGCCTTATGCAATACATCATTTGATTTTTTGAATGCTGCTTCCATGAGTGTTGATTGTGGATCGAAGCAAAATGAAGTCTTTGACATCTTCAATCTTTTCTCCATTTATTATGAGGGTATTTATTGGTCCAGTTGTGAGGATTTTTTATTTCCTTACATTGAGATGCAATCCATACTTAAGTATCCCATTGTCCTGTAAACCATTCAGTATCCCCTTGTTCTGGTCTAACAACTGCCTCTTGATGAGCACAATTAAGTGTTCAGAAATACCCATTCTTCACAATGTTATCTATAGTTTATCATGATCCACACAGTGGAAAGCCTTTACATAGTCAATAAAGCACAAATAAAAATCTTTCTAGTATGCTCTGCTTTTAGCCATGATCCATAAGCCAACAGCAAAGATATCTCTAGTTCTATATCGTAGTGGTTACGAATCGGGCTGCGAACCTTAAGGTCAGCGGTTCGAAACTACCAGCTGCACCGCGGGAGAAAGATGAGGCTTTCTACTCCCGTAAAGATTTACACCCTCGGAAACCCTATACAGGGTCGCTATGGGTTGGAACCGACTCAATGGCACATAACAACAACATCATATCCTGTTCTGAATCTGGCTTGAATTTCTGGAATTTCCCTGTGGATGTCCAGTTGCAACTGTTTTTTAAATATCCTCAGCAAAATTTTACTTGCATGTAATATTAATGATATTGTTCAATGATTTCCATATTCCATTGGGTCACCTGTCTTTGGAATGGGCACAATTATGGAACTCTTCTAATCAGTTGCTCAAGTAGTTGTCTTGCAAATTATTTCAAAAGATAAGTGAGTACCTCCAGTGCTTCATTAGTTTAATGAAAGATTTCAATTTGATTTCCATCAATTCCTGGAGCCTTGTTTTTCATCAATGGCTTCACTGCTGCTTGGACTTCTTCCTTTAGTACCATTGGTTCTTGATCATATGCTATCTCTTGAAATGGTTGAACATTGACCATTTCTTTTTCATACAGTGACTGTGTATTATTTCCATTTTCCTTGGATACCTTTTGCATCATTCAATATTTCATTCATGGAATCATTCAATATGGCAGGTAGAGGCTCGAATTTTTTTATTCACTTCTTTCAGCGTGAGAATGCTAAGCATGTTCTTCCTTTTTCATTTTCTAATTCCAGGTCTTTGCACAATTCATTGTAATACTTGACTTTTTCTTCTCAAGCTTTGAAATTTTCCATTCAGCTCTTTGGCTTCATCATTTCTTTCATTCTCTTTAACTTTTTTATACTCAAGACTAAGTTGCAGAGTCTCCTCTGACATCCATTTTGGTCTTTTCTTTCTTTCTTCTCTTTTTAGTAACCTTTCACTTTCTTCCTATATGATGTTCTTAATGTCATCCCACAACTCTCCTGGTCTTCAGTAATTTGTGTCTCATTCATCAAATCTGTTCTTGAGATAGTGTCTAAATCCAGGTAGGATATATTCAAGGTCATATTTTAGCTTTTGTGGACTTGTTTTAATTTGCTTCATCTTCAAATTGAGCTAGCATATGAGCAATTGATGGTCTGTTCCACAGTCTGCCCCAGTCTGGTTTTGACTGATGATATGGAGCTTTTCTACCATCTCTTTGCAAAGATGTAGTCAATTTGATTTCTGTGTATTCCATTGAGTGACATGCATGTGTATAGTCATCTTTAAGTTTGTTTTTAAAAAGTTATTTGCAATGAATAAGTCATTGTTTTACAAAATTCTATCATGCAATCTCTAGCATAATTTCTATCACCAAATTCAATTTTCCAACTACTGATCTTTCCTCTGGGTTTCCAAGCTTTGCATTCCAGTCATCAGTAATCATCAACATATTTTGATTGCATGTTTGATCAATTTCAAACTGAAGAAATTGTAGAATTCTTCAATCTCATCATCACTGGCTCTGGTATCTACATTTGAATAATAATAGTATTAACTGATCTTCCTTGTAGGTGTATGAATGCTATCCTATCACAGACAGCATTATACTTCAAGATCTTGAAATAATCTTTTTCACAATGAGTATATGAATATTGCCATTCTTCTCCAATTTGTCATTCCCGGCATAGAAAACTATATGACTGTCTCATTCAAAATGGCCAATAGCTGTCCATTTCAGTTCACCAGTGCCTAAGATATCAATCTTTATGTGTTCCATTTCATTTTTGGTTCAAATTTTCCTAGAATCACTCTTTATACATTCAATGTTCTGATTATTAGTGGATGTTTGCAGCTGTTTCTCTTCATTTTGAGTTGTGCTCCATCAGCAAATTAAGGTCCTGAAAACCTTGCCTCATTCATATCTTTATGGTCAACTCTACCTTGAGGAGGCAACTCTTCCCCAATTGCATTGTGAGTGCCTTCCATCATGAGGGACTCATCTTCTGCCACTATATCTGACAATGTTCCCCTGCTTTTTATAAGGTTTTCAGTGACTAAACATCCAGAATTCACAGACATCAGTAGTCTGCTTCTCCTTCTTCCTACTCTGTCTTAGTCTGAAGCTCCAGTGAAATCTGCCACCAGGGATGACCCTGCTGGTATTTCAAATATTGGTGGCATAGCTTTCAGCATCCCAGCAACATGTAAGCCACCACAATATGACAAACTGACAGATGAAAGGAACTTGAGTAGAACTATACCAAACAATTAACAAATAATTAAAAAGTAATTTTAGGAACTCTGAGAAAACCCCATCTGAATGCAAGCTATAAGTCCTCTACCAAAAGGTACAACTTTTCCTTACACAGAGATAAGGATCAAAATATAAATACTACTCGGAGGGTCAGTACAATAAGATGAAATTGTACTTCAGTTCAAGTTACTGATAATCAGTTCATTCCAGTTAAAGAAACAGCAAAAGTACATAAGATCCTTGAATGAAGACCAAAGTCAATTTCTTGAGGCTATCAAAGTAACAAAAACATGCTATAGTAAGGAGGCACATGCATCTCATACTAATAATACTATAATAGCAATTATTTTAAAATTTTCCAAAGACAAACATCTGAGATTGTAGAAGTGTCATAAGAAACATCTTAGATCTGGATGTTGGCAGTTTCTTGTTGTAGTTGTTATGTGCTGCCAAGTTAGTTCAATTTTGTTCAAGCACATAACAGAATAAAACACTGCCCAGTCCTGTGCCATCCCCACATGGTTGCTATGTTTGAGCCAATTGTTGCAGCCACTGCATCATTACCTTTCATTGAGGGTCTTCCTCTCTCTCTCTCTGACCCTCTACCAGACATGATGTTGTTATCCAGGAAGTGGGACCTCCTAAAAACATGTCTAAAGCAAGTGAGATGAAGTCTCGTCATTCTCACTTCTAAGGAGCATTCTAGCTGTACTGGAAGTCCTTGGTATATTTAATATTTTTTGCCAACACCATAATCCACAGACATCAGTTCTTCTTTAGTCTTTCTTATTCACTGTCCAGCTTTCACATGCATATGAGGTGATTTAAATGGCATGGCTAGGATCATGTGCACCTCAATCTTTTGCAGCAGATTTGCACCATGTGCTATGTCACTTGATTTCCTGATTGCTGCTTCCATTGGTGTCAATCTTTTCTTCATTTATCATGATGTTGCTTATTGGCTCAGTTGTGAGGATTTTCATTTTCTTTATATTAATATGCAATCCATTTTCAAGGCTGTTGTCTGTGATCTTCATCAATAAGTGCTTCAAGTCCTCTTTGCTTTCAGAAAGCAAGGTTATCTGCATATCACAGGTTGTTAATGAGTCTTCCTCCAATCCTGATTCCACATTCTTCTTCATGTAGTCCAACTTCTCATACAAATTGAATAAGTATGATTAAAGGATAAAAACCAGGAACACACCATTCTGATTTTAATTCACATAATATCTCTTTGTTCTGTTCACATAACTGCCCCTTGGTCTAGGTACAGGTTTCACATGAGCACAATTAAGTGTTCTGTAATTCCCCACTCTTAGCAATATCACCCATAAACATCTTTCTGGTATTTTCAGCCTTCAGCCAAGATCCATCTGATGTCAGCAATGACTCCACATCCTCTATTGAATCCAGCTTGAATTGGTGGCTGTTGCCTGTCAGTGTATTGCTGCAACCATTTTTAATTACTTTCAGTATTTTACTTATATGTGATACCAATATTTTTCAATAATTTTCACATTTTGTTGGGTCATCTTTAGTGGGAATAGGCAAAATAAACAAAATCCAGATCTCTTCCAGACAGTTGTCCAGGGGGCCATCTTCTAAATTTCTTGACATGGGTGAGTGAGTACTTCCAATGTTACATCAGTTTGTTGAAATATCTCATTATTCTCAATTAGCATGTTCTTAACTCATGGCAATAGTATGAATTAGATGGCAGTGTTTTTCCCACTGTTTTAAAGTAAAGCTATTCTGTCATGCTCTAAGAATTTCATGTGGCTAGTAAGATATTCTTGAATCAAAAGCAGGCTTTTTTCCTAGATTCTGTGCTAAAGGTGGATTTCATTTATTTCATTTTTATCTCCTCCTGATGCCAATTGTTTTTTTTTTTCTTTGAAAGAAAAGTCTGGAGGTATGAAGAAAAAGTGTTATTGTCCTTTTTTTTCCTTCTCAAAGCCCCAGGCTTTCTCTTAAACTATAACATCTGCTTCTTGGTCTGGTCTGGCCTAGATTGTTGTTGTTGTTAGGTGCCATCGAGTCAGTTCTGACTCATAGTGACCCTGTGCAGAACAGAATAAAACACTGCCAGTTCTGGCCCAACCTCTCAATTGTTGCCATGCTTGAGTCCATTGATGCTGCCACTTTGCCAATCCATTTCACTGGGGTCTTCCTCTTTTTCTCTGATTCTCCACCTTACCAAACATATCCTTCTCCAGCAACTGATCCCTCCTGACAATAAGTCCGAAGTATGAGAGACAAAGTCTGGCCATCCTGGCTTCCAAGAGTACTCTGCTTCACTTCTTCCAACACAGATCTGTTTGTTCTTTTGGCAGCCCATGGCACTTTCAATATTCTCCTCCAACACCATAACTCAGATGCATCAATTCTTCTAAGGTCTGCCTTATTCACTGTCCAGCTTTCACATGCATATGAGGTTATTGGATTGGGTCAGGCGCACTGTAGTCCTCAAGCTGACATCTTTGCTCTTCAGCACTTGAAAAAGGTCTTGTGCAGATTTGCCTAATGCGATATGTCGTTTGATTTCTTGACTGCTTCTTCCATGAGTGTTGATGGTTGATCCAAGAAGAATGAAGTCCTTGACAACTTCAATCTCTTCTCCATTGATAAGTATGTTATTTATTGGTCCAGTGGTGAGAAATTTTGTTTCCTTTACATTGAGATGCAATCCATACCCAAGGCTGTGGTCATTGATCTTCATCAGTAAGTATTTTAAGTCCTCTTCACTTTCAGCAAGCAAGGTTGTATCATCTGAATATTGCAGGTTGTTAATGAGTCTTCCTCCAATCCTGATGCCATGT